TTTTTTTTTTTTTTTTTTTTGCAATTCTTAGAATCCACAATATCCAAAACACTAATAGTTAAACAATGCCACACACATATCCAAACGAATTTGAATGTTAATTAGGTACCACGATTTCTGTGATTCTTATAATTCACATAATACATTTAAATAATATATTTAGTTTACATTTAAATCCCACACATCACATAATACATTGTCATAGAAAAAACGAACAATAAAATCTATAATAATATAAAAAGGTTGTTGGAAAAATACAAAATAGTAAGGTTGACTTTAAAAAATAAAGGTTTGACTTACCTCTTTAAGTAATACATACTACTTAAGGCAATAACTATGCAGGTCCCACCCGATTAATTAATAACATAAATTTAAGAAAAAACTTAAATTACGTAATTAAGATAATCAATCAATTCTTGCACTCCGAAATTTTGTAACACATTTTATTCGGATTTTGTGGGATTTGTTACTATGAATTCGAAATTTTGGAACACATTTTTAGCTGATTCTCTGCGACTTTTTTTGTGTTCCATTGACTTACCAAAAAAATCGGATTTTGTTAACCAATGACGCTGATTTCTCTCATGTTTAAAATGATTCAGAATTTGTTCAACAAATGACACCACAAATCCCGTGTTCGATTTTTTATTTTGTTAACAAAAATTAGATGAGATTGTCTTGCCTAAATTATCTCACTTAATTGTTCTTTTGCACACGTCTTTCCCATTTTTTAACTAATTGGATAAACTTTTGCATTTGAACAGTTTATCCTACGGATAAATACAGGTTTCTTAGAATGGAATCAACAATAAAATCTACTCCACATTTCACAAAATATTTGATTGCTAAACTTATATTAGTTTAATAAATAATCATTTCACCAATAGTATATACAACACAAATCGAATATTTTAATTACTAATAGAATCCAAACTTTACAAAATCTATAAAACAAATAAGTATTTTCTTTTTTGGAATATAATCAAAGCAAAAATCTTTGAACATTGAAATCACAACTCTATCATGAGCAATAAAATCTACTTTAATAATATATTCGATATACTATTATATTATAATATAGTATATAAAATCGGTAGGACAACATTATATGAATTTATTTTTTAAATATTATAATATATTACTACATATATATCAAATCGGTAGTTCATTTTTATAACAACTTTAACAACGTGATTTTTTTACCAACTTTAACAATTATTAAGATAATTAACCAAATTTAATTTATTAACTCCTAATTAAATAAGAAAATAATTAAATAGTAAAGAAAATAAGATTAAAAAGGAAAAGAAAAAGAAGAGATAATTACCGAATAGAATAGTCATCTCTTCCGATATCTCCTCCGCAAAATTCTCGGCCACTCCTCCTCTTCGCCTAATTTCAGCAATTCCATCGAGATTTTTTTGGAGCCAATCCTTCTCCTTTAAAATCCTCAGTCGGCCCTAAGATCTCCCTCAGTATCTCACCCTTAATTTCACTCGCGAAAATTCTCGAATTTTTCTACAATTTTCTCCTTCGACGAGACAAACATGGCAACCGCGTCGTCCGGCCACGAAAAGCGAGCCTCGAATTTCGACGGCTAGAACAACCCTAGGTCACGAGCCCCAAACCCTCTCTCCGTTCTAGAGCCGCGTCGTCTGTGGAACTCATCGGTGTTTCGAGACATCCCGACGAGTTCGAGCTCACATCTAACTTTCGGTGACCCTCCTCAGCATTCGACCTCGAGCCGCGAAAGGCGACCATCACAGCAACACAGAGTCGACCGAACTCGAAATGTTCGACTACGTACATAGAGGAGAGCCTTTTTCAGCAATCAACCAAGCTGAGACAAACGTACTCCGGCGACTGAGCAACCTTTTTATTCCTGTGTTTGTGTTCCTTTCTTTCCGACATAAGGTATGTTGGCTAGCTCGACTCTTGAGTTTGATTGGTGTTGGAATTTGGTTGAGATATTTTGATCGTAACAATCGAGCCCTGCTTGCCCGTCGCATCCTTATTGAGGTCTGAGGATGGAATTATTTTGTATAAAGCATTATATGATGCGTTTTGCTTATTGAATATGCTTCATACACTAGGAGATGGTTACCCCAGAAAATTGGCCCTTTTGTGGGTGTTGGTTGCTGAAAGAGCCATTCAGTTTGCAAGGGCTAAATATGATGAACATAGGGTCATTTCTTATCTTAATGCTTTCCGTGAATCACAATTGATGGCCGAGTTAATTAGTTGGGCTGGTAGTCAAGCTGAGGTCGATGACCAGAACAACAGGGTTGTCCTTACCTCACCTGCTGCCCTTATTATGTGGCTGGGATGGATGGGTCTCGCTGGTCAAGGTACTTTATGTTCTTGAAGACCAAGAAGTTAAAGTATTGGATCACAGCATATCTATACTATATGCAAAAGCTATGTCTAAAGCAGAGTGAAAAAACAGGGATCTTGAAATGGGGGAGGCGTTCAACATGCGTTTTACGAATGAATCGAGCAGAAAAAAGGAAAGAGTCGCAGAGTGGTTCCCAAGAATTGCGGGCCAGCCGTTCCGGTGATGCTCAGTCCGTCCCAACCACGACTTTGTTGAACCGAGCCGATTCAAGACATATCAATTTGACAATTTGACAATCTATTCAAATTTTTTTAGCTTTTTTGTAACAACTTTGCCAACCTATTCGGACTTTTTGAGGTTTTTTTTTTGTTTTTTTATTTAACTTTGATATCTACACAAAATATCGAGTTTTAAAATGTTGCATAAATCTTTTCGTATGTTTATATTTTGGTAACCAACTTGATAATTTTTGGTAAAAATTGCATTGAGTAATACTTTTAAAAATATGATTTTTCAATTCATCTCAAAGTCTACCTTATTTTTTGTAACAAAATTCATTAATTTTGATAAAATAAAGTCAAGTTGATATGGTGAAATAATCTTCAATCTCATGTCATCCTAACGCCATTTTTAATCCTTTTATGTTTAATTAATTAATTAATTGATTAATTTTGTTTATAAATAATCTTCAATCTCATGTCATCCTAACGCCAATTTTGAATCCTATTATGTTTAACTGATTGATTTTCTTTAAAAATAACGTAACATAATTAATAAACAATTTCATGTTTCGTTATTCTACATATGAATAGAAGACCTTTGCCAATTAAAAAAAAAAACAATTACAATGGTGATTTTTCTT